GGCTGTAAGCCATTGGTAGCATGTGTGAGGCCCTGGGTTCCATCCCAGCACCATCCAAAAAAAGAAAAAAAAAAAAGAATATACTTCCCATATCTCCAGATGTTAACTTTTCTGGACACCTAACGGTTACCTGTCACCATGGTTAGCTTTTGCTATAATTTTCAGTTTTGCTTCGTAATATTCTTTTGCTAAAAAGAAACAAAACAAACTCAACATTCCAAAGTATTTTTAAAGTACTGAGTGTCTTTCTTTTATCCAAAACACTTTCCTTGCCCAGCTTACTTTGACCCCTAACACACTTTGGGGGTCAAGTTTCTCAAAGTTAGGCAGTTCTAGGCTGTAGAACTAATTCATTTTTCCAAGAATTTAAAATCTACAGGTAACACCCCCCCAAATTTTTACCCTAATTCATTTTGAAATAGACTTAAAAGGTTAGGCTAGAGTATTGAATATTTAGGGGAGGAAAAAAAAAGACAAAACAAAAAGCCTAGAACTTTCTTTTATGTCATGAAATGGGTCCTTCCCTTTTGGGGTTGTTGACCACCACTGGATGAGTTGGAATGCTTGAGAACCATACTTAAAACACCTCCTCCTCCTGTCTTTCCTAGACTCTCTCTCTCTCTCTCTCTTTTTTTTCTTCTTAATTAGATTCATCCCAGCAAGGTCTTTTTTTAGAAAGAGGATTTCAATTTGTTAAGTCAGGCCACTCAACTATGCAAAAGAAAAAAATGAGAAAAATGAGGGTCTCCCCCTGCCTCGTGAGAGTTCTTTTCCCCAGTTCCTCCAAAACTTCACAAAGGGACCGTGTCACTTGAAAGTCTGCACTTGACAAGACTGACACAACAAACATGGGCACGACCTCAGAGCAGCTGGAAAGGATCCAGGCCTGCTGCCTGGAAGTGCACATGCTGCAGGAAGTACACATGCCGTCCCTGCTCACATGCACGCACTGGTCTGCTGTCTCCCCCGGGGTGAAGGCATACAGTTCTCATGCTAGCACTTATTTGGGGGAGACAAATACATTAGTAACAAATGGGTTTACACAAATTTATATGCTTTTTTTTTTTTTTTTTCAGAAACTCTGGGAGCCCAGAGGGCTCTGAACTGCACCCTGCCCCAACTGTGCAACACCAGTAGCAACCACCTTCCACCAAGAAAGACCCACCCATGGCTCAGATCACTGATTCTGTGCCCCGGATGATTCTCCTCCGAGACTGATGTTTGCATCTTAATAGGTCTGTGATATGAAGCCATTTCGCTGGTAACATTCTGAAATGATACCTAGATTTTTAACACCTATTTGTATGTTGGACTGATCAGCAACACCCTAGGACAAGCATTTAATGACATGCCCGTCAGTCCCTGAACCCTGCTTAAGTGTCCTCTTGGATGAGCTGGCAGAAAAGTGACAGAAATGTTCTTTAATAACTATGGTTTATCCATTTCTTTCAGATAGTAAGTGGCACGTTCTCACCTCATTTGCAGCTTTTAATCCCAAATGGACATTGCTTTTGAAATACCCTCTTTCTTTCTTTTCTTTTCTTTTTTTCTTTTTCTTCCCTGAGGCTGCCACTTGAAAGTTGAAATCTAGCAAGAATGTAATGGTAGGTGCCGGCTTTCTGAATTACAGGGTGACTGCCTGAGCTGTCCTAAAAAGCAAGTGTCTTTTTTATGCCGCATAAAAGACTGAAATGTTTACATATCAAAAGGCTATAGGCCAATTTCTGTCAAAATTACACATGAAGTTAAGCAGTACAAGCAATTTATTTAAACACTAGTCATTGTAGAAAAATTCAAAACCATATGCTCTTTTAGCAGTTTTTCACAAATGCATTTGACCCATGACTTGGCTAGACATACAAGCTTCATAATTTACTCTAAATTTCAAATCCCCTTGACGTTTAAATAAAAGATCTTCATTAATGAGGTTTACATGAATGAAAACTTTAGAAGCTGATATCGGTTAGCAAGGGGCTTCAGGACCGTCTGTGCCTTCGCTCTAATTTTCAAATGACTGACTTTGCTTAATCATTTCAAGAGAAAGTTCCTCTGAGAACAAATTATCATCATTTGCATTCTGCGATTTGCAAAAGCAACGGTGCAGTCACTTTGAAACAAACTTTGAAAGTGGATTTCTGCAACCCAGGAAAACTGAAGCTATTTTTTCCCCCTTGAGGCCTTGGGAACACGTCATTTTTCGACACCCTCTTCTCTCCCAGGGCTACGTGCTTTCCCTAACACCTTGATGAGCTTGTTCTTAGGGTTTCGGGTGTTTTTCTTTAGAATGTTTCAAAACTTCTATCAAAAATCATCTGGTAAGTTCCCTATGTTTAGCTGAATGCAAGAGACCCTGGACAAATGCGTCGCTGGTTAGCTTTAGCGGGCAGAGACTGCACGGGTGGAGGCTGCGCGGGTGGGTCAGCACCACCAGGGACCAGCCTCCCCGAATAAGGCTAGAGCTATCGGAGGGGTCCTTCAGGGACCAGCAGAACTGTATTGCTGGTTTGGCGCACCAATTTTGAAACATTAGATTTTTTTTTTTTTAAAAGCCTAAACACCAACGAGAATACCAATTTGCGCTGTGAAAACTACTGAGGTCTCCTTGCTGCGCGCTGGGGACCTACAGAGACATTAGAATTGTTCCTAATTCCTCTGACCTCCATGCAGCCTGGAGGGCTAGGTTATCTTTGAAAAGGACACGCCAGCTTTTTGCACATGATAAGAAAAATCTTACTTACATGCATCGGATTATAAACTCTGCTCTGTGATCAGGCAAGAGAGTGAGAGAATTAAGAAACGAATCCTAAGAAGTTGGGGCCGGGTATGCATTTTAAAATACAGCTGCGGGGAGTGGGGTGTAAAGAGAAAGGGGACAGCTTTTTCCACGATGAAAATATCTCGGGGCGCGGAGATATGCCCAGGCACACACTCCAAACTTGAGTACTCTGTTTTAAATCAGAGAAGCAATTTAATCTACACTCTTTGAATCAATTTAGCGATGACCGCAGCGCAAGTCGCCTTCCATAGAGGCCAAACAGAAAATATACCTTACGCATGTGGAATCCACTGATCTATTCTTTAATATTTTTAAAATGAGGGCTATTACCGGGGCGAATGACTCCTCAACAAACACATTTTCATAGACTTCTGCGTGGTGATTGCTTTGTGTGAAATCGTGTTTGGGTGATAATAGGGAAAATCAGCGGCGTGTTTACTGCCTTTCCCACCGAAGCGCTCCCGGCTGCCGCTGGACGCTCCGGGTCCTCCCATGCTGAGCCGTGCGTGTGGGGCCGACAAACAATCGCTTAGCAACACTAGGCGGACCATTTGCTTGCGTTGCATTTGTTATTCCAATTGCGCCAGGCAATGAGGGGCAAGATTGGCGCGTTGTGGACACTTGTGGGTTTTCGTCCTTAGAGGAGGTGCGGTACCGGGCCAAAGAAGACGCCTTTCTGGCGTCTGCCTCCCCGCGGACAAAGAGGAAGGACCACAGATTGAGGGGCACCCAGGTGGGGGAGGTACGCCAGGCAGGGGTGAGCTGCGTGAGAGGTGGCAGAATGAGTAGTGTGTGGCTCTAGGTCCCTGTGACCCCTTCCCTGAAATTCTCCTCCATTAGAGGATAGAGCTTGCAAATTCGCTCTTATCTTAGACTCAACTGATTCAGAGACCCTGCCCTAATGCTGGGGGCAGGGGTGGAGACAGCACACTCCTTTGTCCCGATGAAAAGAACAAGAAAATGTCCTTTAGTCCATCCCCAACCTCCTTGGGCCAGTTACCTTCCTAATTTTAAGGTTGTAAGGGACTCAATGAATGTTGGATTAGGTTCGATCAATTAAAATCCTGAGGCCTCCAAAAGACGGGCAATTTACAAAGTGTCTCCATTTATTCCAACTCTGATGTTCAGACTGGATACTCTTCCTTCTAGTGGTTGGGGAGTTAGCCAGAGGGCTTCAGGAAAGTGAAGCACAATCTAGGATTTTGTTCAACCTGATCATTAAGGACAAGAATCAAGAGGAAGAAGACAGGAGGGGTGGACTTGGCCAGCGAGTTGGTTCTACACTTTTAAATATTTGGAGGCCCTCCGTAGTTCTGAGACTGAGGTTTTGTTGGGGGTCCTGATTTGAGCACTCTTCACGACAACTAATGGACTAGGAATCTGCCTGTAGAATCCTACTTGGCTTCTGCCTCCCCCTGATGCAGGCAAAGATCTTAAAAGACGCACCCCCGCAAAGTTCGCCCGCCCAGCAACCAGCACAAATGCATATAAATTCACTGCTGAAATTGCAGCCTCCAGTTTTCTTCCATCCATTGCCCTGTACAACGGAACCTGAGAAAGGCGGGCGGCAGTATGTGTGCTCTGGGACCTAGTGACCCATTCGCTGTCTCTCAGAATGGAAAATCTGCTTCCCTCCCTGGTTAGTAGAGAGCGAAGGCAGGTTTTCTTACCGTAGACCTGACCTCTGAAAGAGAGGGTCACTCTCCTTCCTGGGAGGTTATAATTATTATTTTTAAATCTATGGCTTCCCCAAATTGAGACCCATTTCCATCCGGCCTTAATCTCTCCCAACAACCTCTAGTTTGCACAGCAAAGAACCAAGTCTCCAGACCACCCGAGCCGGTGGGCGTTAGGATGTGGAGCTTCAACTCCGGGGAACTAGGAGGAGAAGCGCGCACTAGCCCTCGTTCCGCGGCCCCAGCGCATTGCCGAGTTCTGCGCCCCCGCACGACCAAAGCTCCGCTCGACGGCTCTTTGACTTGGGAAAGGAATTGACAAGTGGCCTTTCCCCGGTGCTTGGGAAGAGGCAGCGTAGTTGACTTAGTCTTACTGAGGTGATTTTAGACAACTTTTCGGGAACCCCTGGTTAATCAGTTCCAGAAAAATCGGGTAGGAGTTAAAGGCGAAAAAATGGGTAGGAGTTAAAGGCGGCCTTCCTTCGGGACTCTGGCGGGGTCTGCCATCCCCGCCCAGGGCGGTCTCCCGTCTCAGTCGGTGCTGGCCCTTCCCCCTGGAATGGCTGTCGTTGCTGGCGCAAAGCCCCGAAGAAAGACGGCTTTGGAGTCCAGGGGCTTGCGCCCAGGCCGCAGGACCTCAGGGGCTCTTTCGTTCCGCGCACACTGTCGCCTACCTTCTCGAAGAGCGCTCAACAGCCTGCGCGCAGAATGGACTGGCTGCACCTCCGGCGGCTCCAGCGGGCGGCCGTGCTGTGCGGAGAAACCCGCAAGTCACTGCGGCTGCCTTTGGCAAGCAGGGAGGGCCTTGGTACAGGCCCCCGGGACCGGGGAACCCAGCCTGGGCCTGCCAGGCTGAAGTTAAGGGGCCTGTCATTTAGGGAGTGAGCAGGTCCAAGGGGAAAAATGCGACTCAATTGTTCCGGAGGAAGACTGAGAAGCCCCAAAGGCTCCAATCTGGATTGAAAACCCAAAACAGGGAAAGAGGACACCCCACTTCTAAAAATAAGAATCAACAAGGAAAAGCACAAAACCTACCGACACCCACGCAGGGGGCAGCTGGAAGCATCGCTTCTGAGTGCTACTCTTGAACTTTAAATAGTGGCTGAATTCGGTCTTCGTTGTGTAAGGACCTAGGGACTGTCATGGTAGTTTTCTGACCCAAAGCGTCTGGGGGGGGGGAGAGAAAGAGAGAGAGAGAGAGAGAATGAATATGAATTTTAGAAAATACAATGCACCTTTTCTTTCATCGTTTTTGCTTTACAAATTTTGACTTTTGCAAAAACAAAAGGCTGGGGTGGGGAGTGGGAATTAACCAGCTGATTGGGAAGAGAACTTTAAAGATTAAAAAAGAGAGAAGGAGTTGAAATTAGGCCGTTCGTACACGGAGGCCCAAGGAGGAGCGGAATTTTCAATCCTACTTGAGGAAGGACACACTCACATTTTCTAAAACAAAACAAATTCCGAAAGAAGTAGCCCCAAAGTAAAACCGGCCACAATGAATGTGAGCTAAAGGCAGAGGAAATCGCACCCAATAATAGGACCCAATCTGAGAAAAAAAGGTGGGGGCGGAGAGGTCGGGCGGAGGGAGTTGTTAACTGCGGCAGTACAATGGAATTAATGAGATTAACCAGGGCAATTAGGCCGCCCGCCCAGCTCGACCGGCCCGCGGCGGGGCTGCCGAATGGAAAAGATTAGGTTAATTTCATTAATTCTCAATCCACAATCTCTTCTCAGGCTCTGTCACCCCCTCCCCTTGGCACCTCTCCCCCTCCCCTGGAAAACCTCCCCCCACCCAAAGGAGAAGAAAAGGCCAAATCTGGTTCTGTTTGTCATCTGCATATTACCAGGAACTAAATCCAGGATGACGTCGACTCGGTATAAAACCAACAAGAGGTTCAGCTGGTCCGAGCTCGTCCTACCCGCGGGTTGAGTTCAGCGAGCGCTGCAGCGAGGGGCGGGCGGGAGGAGGGCGAGCGGACGCAGGGGGCGGGGAGGGGCGCGGGGCTGCACGCTCGCCGGCGCTCTCTTTCGGTTTGGTCGGCGGTAGGAGGAGAGCGGACACCCCCACTTTGAGGCATTTTCCTCTGCGTGTCCCCGCTGCCCTCTGGTCCCGGCGCGGGTCTCGGGGATGCCCGCCAGCATGTTCAGCATCGACAACATCCTGGCCGCCCGGCCGCGCTGCAAGGACTCGGTGCTGCCGGTGGCGCCCAGCGCCGCGGCTCCGGTCGTCTTCCCGGCCCTGCATGGGGACTCGCTCTACGGCGCCAGCGGAGGCACCTCCTCGGACTACGGCGCCTTCTACCCGCGCCCGGTGGCCCCTGGCGGCGCGGGCCTCCCGGCCGCGGTCGGCGGTTCCCGCCTAGGCTACAACAACTACTTCTACGGGCAGCTGCACGTGCAGGCGGCGCCCGTGGGCCCGGCCTGCTGCGGGGCCGTGCAGCCGCTGGGCGCCCAGCAGTGCTCCTGCGTCCCGACGCCCTCAGGTATGGTCGCGCTCGCTCGGGCCTTCGCAACCTAGCGCTGTCGTTAGTCCCTGGGATGGTGGCGCTTGCTTTGGTCACCTTGCACAAACTTTTCCTCTTGCGAACCCCCATTTCTTGGCGGAGTTTGCACACGTCTTACTGCAAACTTTTCGCGAGTTAGCGAAAGTAACTCGCGTAGTGTCCGGGTTAGGATTCCACGCCCAGGCCATAATTTAGTGCCTGCCGTGGGGAAAGTTAGGTTTTTTTAAATTCCCCGACTGGCTCTGGGGCTTGAGGGGGGATGATCCCTCCCATTTTCCGGCACCTCGACCCCTTTGTAGCTGTTTTTTAAGTGGGAGAGGATTGCGGGCTGGCCGGCGGGCGTGCGCGCGGTGACGAGGGAGGAGGCTGACTGTGCGCCCGCCTTGCCGCAGGCTACGAGGGCCCAGGCTCGGTGCTGGTGTCTCCAGTGCCGCACCAGATGCTGCCCTACATGAACGTGGGCACGCTGTCGCGCACCGAGCTGCAGCTCCTCAACCAGCTGCACTGCCGGCGGAAGCGGCGGCACCGCACCATCTTCACTGACGAACAGCTCGAAGCGCTGGAGAACCTCTTCCAGGAGACCAAGTACCCGGACGTGGGCACGCGCGAGCAGCTGGCCCGGAAGGTGCATCTCCGAGAGGAGAAAGTGGAGGTAGGCACCCAGCCCGCCGGCGGTGTCTAGTGGTCCTTCCCAGGGAGCAGGGCCCCAGGCGGGTTGGCCCCAGGCGGGTTGGCCCAGCTCTCCTCCAAGCTCCCTAAACTTTAAAAACTTCCCGGTGGCAGCCTGGAGGCTGGAGGGCGCTTTAGGCCCAGGAAGTCGGGAGAAAACGCGGAAGCCGGAGCTAGTGGCTCCGCTCCTTTTGTTGGTGTGCGCGCGGTGTCCGCTCGCGATTCCACGGCCCGTTCATCCGGCGGCCACACGGAGCCCCGGGTGTGCTGGCGGTGGGGCAAGCGTCCCTTAACTGTTGTTTTGTGCTCACTTGCGCAACAGGTCTGGTTTAAGAATCGCCGCGCCAAATGGAGGCGGCAGAAGCGGTCCTCATCCGAGGAGTCGGAAAACGCTGAGAAGTGGAACAAGACGTCGTCGAAGGCGTCGCCGGAGAAGAGGGAAGAGGAAGGTAAAAGCGATTTGGACTCGGACAGCTGACGGCCGCGGGATGGCCGTGGCGCTTGCCTGACTCAAGGACTTGCACAGACAGACGATGCTACTTCTTGCACACGCGCTGCCTTGCGGGAGGGGGTCGAGAAAGAGGAACGAGGAGCTGTAAATAGTGTACAGAGCCGGGAGGGTCGGCGCCTGGGGACTGGCGGGCAAGCGGGTTCTCGCAGCCCCGCGCGGTCAGAGGCCGCCTGCATCTTGCTCCCCACTGTAGTATTTATAGTTAAGTTAACGGTGACAGTACAATAAAGTGACGGTGATGTAGATGGGCCAGTCTGTATTTCCTACCACCACCACCACCACCACCATCAGTCCGAGGCCTAGAAACCCATTTAGTTTGTAGCATCTACAGAAAAATTGAGCAGCTTTGACCTGTCAAAAGGAAGGAACAAGAAAAACTCGGGGGGGGGGGGGAACTCACCGAGGGATGGATTGGAACGGGATGGGGTCCCAGTTTAACAGTAAGCCTCGGCCCTAGTTCTCCAGGAAGGAGTGAAGTGTGGCCTTGCGGACGTGATGTGAGGGTCTGCCAGGGTTCTTGCTCCTTGCTCCCGCTGGGAGAAGGAGCACACCTTCCTTCTCTGTAGAAGCCAGAGCTACAGACCGAAGCTTCTCCAGAGCCCTAGTCTATTTCTGTGAAATCTCAGACCAAAGATGGCCAGTCCACGGCTGAGTTAGGCAACGGACATGCCTGTTCCCCCGGGTGCTTTCCTCGATCTTCCACGAAACTCCCCGCAGCCCTAGTTGGCACTGTAGCCACACGGCAGCCAGGAGGACCTCTGCCAGGAGACCAAGTACCCGGACGTGGGCACCCTTTTCCCTGGGCGGCTGAGTGGCCAGGGCTGAGGGATGCGCTCTCAGTCAGTCTAGGAGGGCACGGGGAGAGGGTTGCTTTGAAGTGGCAGTACCAGTCCCCACCCCCATGTCGCTCTTTTCTTCTGGAACTATCTACCTTCCACCCACCCGGGGCTGGAATAAGGAACTCCAGCGAGCCAGTTGCGGGCTGGCTATGCCCGCCCCGCCGGGTCTGCAGTTAACCAAAGACTGGAGAGGTCTGCCGGAGCCCCTGAGCTAGGGATAAAGAGTAGATCACTCCGCAGGCCATTCAGGGCATGGAGTGAAGGCCAAGGCCAGAAGGGATAGCTTTTAATATGTTGAATTTTATTCTGCTCACTTACCCAAGAGGAAACCTGGGCTTAGAGCCCTCTTGGGCTCCTCAACCCTCCTGTTCCCGGAGCAGAGAGTTTGTTCTTGCTGGGCCTCCTCACATGTTCAGATCAAGGTCCCTACAAGGGAAGGGGCAAGGCCTTCAGGCTGGCTAATTGAACAGCTACCAAAAGGAACTTTGTTTACAAACAGCACTTGTTTTTTCCACATCTTGTGGGTTTGCAAATGTGACCCCTGGAGCATATGAACTAGCCCTTGGAAAGCTTGGAGTGCTAGCTCTCCAATACTGCCTTTTCCACAAGCAGTATCCCTAGGCAGAGGAAAAGGGCAGTGGCAAGGGTCAAGACTGCATCAATTTGTGACTTTGGGCACGCTGCTTAACCTCTCTGTCCCCGGTATTCCATAACTGTAAAATGGGCACAGTAATAGAACCTGCTTCCCAGGGTCCTTGTGGACACTACTTACTTAAGAGCCTAAGGGACTCTTTTCAACATGACTACTTAATTTAGAAAATGTGAGCATGCTTTATCTAATTCAGCTCCTATACTTCCAGATGTATGTACATTATCCAATTTTATCTTCAAGAACTCTAAGATGGGTAATGTCACCATTTTACAGATGAACATGTTAAGGGTTTGAAAAGTTAAGGACATTAACAACAAGCAGCTCATAAGAAATAAGGCGGGAACATGGCCTTTGCCTCAGTGAGTCTTATACCATAATTGGAAATGTTTCCACTAATAACAGTTCTTGTGAGAAATATTCAAAGAAACTGTCCTATTTGGTTTCAAATGAATCTTGAAATGGCTGTTGGTATACCTCCTTAGACAGCAGACTTCAGAGTGAGACAGCAGTGCCTGCCATTGCTCCCAGTCATTGATAGCTGATGTTCCTGGAGGGTGTCCTCCCTACCTTTGAAGAGGAATCAGCCCGCAGGGATATCTGCAACATTTTAAGGCAGGAGAGAAGTGAGCAGTGTCATTTCACCCTGAGAGAGTTGCCTTCTAAACTCCTGTGTGGCTTTTCCCTATAAAAGGGAATTTTTCATTTTAAAGAAAGTTTGCATATATTCTGGAAAGAGGTCTAAGGCAAATGGTCCAGGGGAGATAAGGGAGGGGTTGAACACCTGGTGAAAAGCCATGAGTGGAATAGAGGGGGACCAAGCTCCCAGCTTGTTCCAGAGTAGGCCCAAGGTGACAAGAGAACTCTCCCTCACTGTCCACGTCTCCATGCCTGGAGTCCCCTGCAGAGGCTTCAGGATTGGCCCAGCTCACAGGAAATAAACATAATAAACGTCTGGAGTGAAGAGGGAAATGTCAGCATGGTCTAATTATAGTCCACCCACCTACCTTGTGCATGCCCCAGGCAGCTGTGGGGTTCAAATCTCCATCTTAGACTGGCTCTTGGTGGCAGGAGGGCCAGCTGGGGTCATGGAGCAGAAGGCACTCGGGCCTCGTAATTTTCTTCAGTGGGAATTGGGGTCACACTGTTGGAAAGTGGTATGTGTCCTCGGGCAGGGTGTAGGCCAGTCAGCCTGGCTTAAGAGGTTTCAGATTCATGTGACCTCTCATCCTGTCCACTGAAGGTGTTCTGCCCATTCCATAGTTGAGCAAACTGAGGCACAAGACTAACGCCAAGAAGCAAAATGAGAATTGTGACCTGCAAGGCTCCTGGACCTTATGATTTGCAAGGGGATGTGGGTAGGCCTCTCACCAACAGCAAATGACTACAAGAGTGAGTGTAACTGCCCCGCCTCACAGACTCTAGTGAAGAGCAGTAGTGACGATTGTGACCCCTCACACTAGTCTAGCACTTTACACACCACACTTCCACTCTCAGGAGGGGGAAGCTGCAGCCCATTCTCCAGGTGGGAATTGGAGGCTCAGTAAGAATAAATAGTAAGTGGCAGAGCAGGCCCTGGACCCCCGTGCCCAGCAGACTTCCCACATACTTCTTGCAGTGATATGAGGTCTGGAGTAATGGCTTCCAGGTGTCCCTGGCCACCTGAGCCAAGTGGGCCCTGCTTGGAAGGAGCTGGGAGTCTTGGGATTCCTACCATCTTCCTCCATATCTATTGGTTCTTGGCAGTAGCAGGGCACAAGCTAGG